AATTAATTCTTGTTTCTTTAGATCTTACTTTATCCGTCTTTTGCATCAGTTTGACATATTTAGTTGTTTGATGTTTACGATTGGATAAACAGAACGATTCGTGATTACGATTACATGATTATGATGATTTTTCTATCTATGATGTTTCATAATTAAGAAACATATTAAAATTAATAGTTATTTTATTGAAAGTTCTAGTAATTTTGTTGAGGTGTATAATCGTTTTTTCTTTATTAACCGTCTATTTCATAATACATTTTTTGGTCTCTTTTGTTGCATGTTTATTACACTAATAATCACATCCGGTTTTTTCTCCCTCTTTTTTTTCTTTCCTTGTTTTTCCTTTCCTTGAATATTTACTACACTAGTAATCATATAGTATTTTTTTCTTTCCCTTTTTTTCCTCTTTCCTTGTTTTTCTCTTCGTCATTGTTATTTTATCTGTGTATGACAAGGTCACATCACACGTTCTCTATTGCGCACACATTTTGAAAAACACAATAATATGTGGCAACTAAAAGAAGATGTTTACTCATTGTTTCAAAAATCAAAATATGCTCCGATTGATGGAATGCGATCGATCTCATGTTTAATGATTATTTCCTTTCATATCATCAGTTTTTTGAATTCATTCATTCCATCTTATCCACACCAACAATGGATGACTTATTTGAATAGTTATTCATTCAGACTGTCATCATTATTATCATTATCATTGGAAACATTTTTCATGTTATCTGGTTTTCTTCTTACATTAAAATTCATTCAACAGCGACATCTTTTCTCATGGAGAGAATATCCTATACACATACTTAGACGTGCCTGTCGTTTTTGGCCAGGTATTTTATTGATTACCATGATGATGTTGATATTAGGTGAATCTAAAGGAAATTGGAGAAGTTTTTGGCTATTTTATCAAAATTATATTAATAGAGAACAATGGACAATCGGCTCTTCTGCACTCTGGAGTATCAGTCTTGATATGCAAATGTATATACTACTACCCCTCATTCTTCATGTCATTACCAGCTTCAAATCGAATTATCAAAGAATTTATTTATCATTGTATATACTTGTTATTCTGTCTATTGTCTATTCACTACTAGTATTTAATCCGAAGACTATGAACATTGCAACTCTTGTATATCATTATAATTCGATGGCATTATTCATGTCGGAACGAATTTTCAAATGGACTAGTACTAAATATAATGTTACAATGGGATTTGAAAAACCAGTCGATCCAAGTCTAATGAGACCATTTACGGAATCGATGTATGTATCTATATCAAGTCGATATTCGAGCTTTGTCATCGGATCAATTCTCGCATTTTATCTGATCGATGTTAAAAATAAGAGTTTTATTCATTATGGAAAGATTAAAAAATACGTTTATTTAACATTAGTTTTACTATTTATGCTTCTTTTGGTGATGCCAAGTGAACCATATATCATCAATACTGTAGTATTATCAATTATGATTTCCATTATTCGACAATTATTTTCCATATCGCAAGCATTTATTCTCTTTTCAGCCATTTGCCCATCAATGCATCCTTATCATAGCCCATGGATCAAATCATTTCTATCACTTCCCATTTGGACACCAATTGCTAAATTAAGTTACCTAGTATATGTACTACATTTTCGAATTGCATTCGAATTGATAATGTCTCATAGTCATCTATTTGATCCTAAACGTTTTTCAATCAATGGTTTAACCCTCCTATATCTAGCACTAGTGTTAATAATCTGTCTCATTTTATCAACCGTTTGGTTCATTCTTATCGAACAACCATTTGAACGATGGACCAATATGCATCTATTCAATAGTAAGAAGTCGCATACAAAGTAATCTATCAGAAATCTTTGACATTATTATACAAATGAATCATTTTTGAACAGTTTTTTTTTCTATAGGAAATAGATATGTACTGCTCTTATACTCTAACATAATGAATGAGAATTTGGAATTCAGTATTTTAACATAGATGAAATATATCTGGTACAAGAGAGAAAAAGCATACTTTTCTGCTTCGCAAGTGCAGAAGTACGAAGAAGTGAATATATAGTAAGAGATTTCTCGAAATTTATTTGTGAAGAAGAACCTTATTGGAACAATTAATTAAGAGATTGTCACTAGTCTTTACTACTTGTTTGGATAAATCAAGTAACTTACTATAAAACATGTTATAAAAAAAGGAATTTTGATAGTTCTTCAACGTCTCTGATGTAATTTTCATATGTTAACAAGTATCATTGAAAAATCTAATATTACTCATTTCAGAAACTTCCAACATCGATGTTGATTTTAATCAGTTCCACTTATCCTCGATATTTATAAAAAAAAAAAGATCATAATGATAAAATGCTACAATGGAAACTTCAAGAATATGAAGAACGAAAAAAAAGATAACGATATTTTTCAATGGAATCTGATAATACTGCTCATCAAGGAGATCTCCTCATTAGAGATTCTATCCAAGATGTAAGTGTGGGTGTTAATAAAAGAAAATAGACACCGACACACACCTACACCCTCTAGTCGTTACAACACAATGTGGTTTACGACAGAAATAGTTAAAACTCAGTCGAAGTTGCCACTCGTAAATTTTGTTTTTCGGAGAACAGAACGAAAAGAAACGCGTGATGAGATAAAAAAATTCACGATAAGCGACAATAACAATAACAAAAAGAATTCATTCAGTGCACATGACAAGAAAAGAACAGCAAAAAAAGTGACGAGTTAACTTTTGTACGTCGATTTATACTGAAAGAAAATGATGAATAACATTCAAAAAGTACCAACAACAATTCTCAATGCAATCAATGGTGAAAATTTATCATCAGACACGGTCATATATTATAAAGAAGATCAAGGTTGGGTGTATAAGAGATGCGATATTGATCTCATCGATCAAACTCGTGCAAGGAGAACAAACCTCAACGATGATATACGTCCATTGGAGTCGCTTGGTCCCTTCGGTAATCGGAAAATTAAATCTGCGATCTCAGTTTCATCCATTCTTATGCTTTTCTTATTCAGGTACTCAACCAACTAACGTCTCAATAGCTATTTTACTAGGGACAGATATGTATCAAACAAAATTTGATCAAGGATTAAGTGAACTGGCTCAATATGATGATATCGAATGTGTTGGTCAACATGCTCCATTGACACCAGTAACTCTTCAGGGTGCAGCTCGTGACGTTGCACATATACCACATGATGCAACACACTTTTGTTGGGTTTATCCACCAGCTGGACTAACTCAGTTAGGTGATAGAGCAAAGAAAAAGATAGATAAGAAAGTGGCAAAAGGTGATTTATCCTATACTTTCCTTGCTTTCGGTGGTTTTGTTTATTTTCGTGTCGATGGATATAACTACACGATGTTACAAGCTAATGCTCTTGTTAAAGCTGACAATGGTCTTACATTTCATGGACCTTTCAAATGGCGATCAGTCTACACGGCTCATTTGGATAAACAAGGACGATTTCAGGTAGTTTCATATATCTTGACATAGACTAGAAAAATCATTCTTGTTCTATTTCTAGAATGTCACTGTTTCATCGATATTGGATTCAGGCATCAAATACTATTGTTTTATCAATCCATATGAAAAACTTCAGAGTTCTGTTGATGGCTATCCAGATTGGACTCCTGCTAAGAATGGTGCTTTCGTCTATTTATACGAATCTCCAGCAAAATCTCATCCATATGATCGATATTTTACTATTGCCGACGCACCAATTACAGACCATATTGGTACACAAGTCATGCCATTTTCATTAGTTCGCAGATCCCAATCCCTTAGGTCATCATTACCATTACTACAGAACTCAGTTACCGATAAACAATCAGCTTCATCTTTACCAAGTTCGAATGCTGATAAGGATAGATTTAAGTGTTTAATTTGTTTTGATCGTACAATTCAATGCATCTTAATTCCATGTAAGCATATGTGTGCATGTGCTGAATGTGCTCAAATCATCAAAGAAAAGCAAAAATCACGTTGTCCAATATGTAGACAAACATTTACTGAAATATGGAATGTGTTTTTGTAAAAAGAGATCGGATATTGATAAAGACATCTTTAATAAAAACTAAACATGACTATTCGCTTGCTTCGTTCCTCAGAGCGGGTGAATACGGATTGGATCACGAAAATGATGTGAAAGTATATTCAACTAGAGGATGGTGTATCAATGTTGTATAGGGAAAAACCAGACTTCTACAACCGAAGTCCGTATTTCCCCTATTAACATTTATCGTCCATAACACACTATTAATTATCGTTTCTGTCGACTTTCACTATTCAAAAAAGATCGCGAAAAGGGTGTGAGTGTGAACCTCCTAAAAACTTCAGCT